TACGAGTAAAAGAGTCTAATATGAAAGGGAAAAAGCAAAGACTAAGAAAAGCATATAATTACAATGTGCCAAAAGATTACAGTGCTTACCATTATGTTGAAGGCAAAGTTATTCCAGTTGATGAAGAGTGTTTCCATTTTAAAGAAACTGCTTGTCTCTAATCATGGCCCACTTCAGAAACCCTTGGCACAAAGTTTCTGCGCTGAGTGGACAAGCTCATGCCAGCTTTTTCAGGAAAAAATATACCTTCAATGCAGTATATTTGCCATTTTAAAATCTGAGAAATACAATTTCTTATAAGTTCATGGTGTTTTTTTTAGTAATAGAATTACAATTCCTTAGAGGGAGTTGAAATCTCTCAGTTTGTTGGTGTTATGAAGCTACAGAGGAACAGGAAGTGACCAGTTAAGACAATCAAAAAGCCATTATGCAGTTTGCAAGAGTCTGCAAGTGCCTGATGAATCCATAAAATGTAATGGGTGCCTGGTTAGTGCTGGCAAACTTAAAGCAAAGCAAGACAGTAAATGTACCAAGGTATCCTACAGCCCTGTAGAACTATGAAACACCTACAGATCCACCAAGCTATCTTTGCTGACCTTCCTCAGTCTTTGCCAATTACCATAATTCCTAGACAACATCATGCAGTGATGCAGCTTCAAGTGGTGGCACTTATTTTATGAAGTATGAGTTCTCCACCAGTCAGTTGCCAACAGCTGCACAAAATAAAACATTACATAGAGGATATTATTATCAGTGACATGAAGAATCTGCAAAGCTCTCATAATAGTCATTCACCAAAGGATCTCTCAGGGAACAATGTAAATCATATGTAGGCTTCAGAGAAGCAGTGTAACACAGCTGGACTTTTCTAGAATCAGTGCTACCATACATGCTGAAGATACAAGAACAAACTAAGAATTCAAATGCAATTCTAAAACATAAGGAAATGACAATACTATAATCAGCACCACAAAAAATTATGAAAATGCATAATAAAAAATAAACCACAAGATTCTTCCAGAAGTGTTTATTCTAAAATGAAACCACCATCATTTTTACACTGTCAACTTTTTCAAAATAAGTATCCTTTCTGTCATTTTGCAAAAGAATGAATTGTTGCTCATTAAAAACCAAAACAAAACACTGCTACTATATTGAGGCTCCATATTTTTTAATGAAACAAATAGAAAGCTCCATGGTAACAACCCAAATTCTGTAACAAGTTGCAACTATTTAAAATATTTTTCCATTACCAATTTAATACACTCCTACACTCTTTTCTACTAGTGATACAGTTACAGTACAACAAAGAAAAGCTACCGAAGCAAGAGGAAGAGATTGTCCTGAGTACCCCTTAGATGAAACAGCAGTTGGAGAAAACTCTTATCAGTTGACATCATTTCTGCTCTGGTGGCAGACTGGTAGGCTTAGAAACACTTGTTCTCACTTGGCCCTTTGATAGGCACCCCTTCACCTCTTCTGTAGAAGCAGGTCTAACTCTGCTAGCCTAACTCAAGAAAATGTGAACTTTATCATCTTCACAAGCAGACAAGCACTATTTACATAAACTCTATTTATTTACATAAAATTTTTGAAGGATGTGTAATAATCACAGAATGTCCATTACCTACATTGACATGTTACCTAGTTTCCAGATACTACAATAATAAAATTGGATTACTTTCTCAGAAAGTAGTTCTAATAATTTTCTGTAACGCTACTGGACTGTACTCATGACTACCACCACACACCTTCACATTAGGATCTTATAAACACAAACAGCAACATAGTATCAAATCCGTTATTTGTTTCTAATCCTCTGCTGACGTTATATACCAGAGGCATTCAATTATATATGATACCGATCTAGGTTTTTTGGATATATGCACTGACAGCTTGTGCACTGTGTGAAAGTCTAGGCCTTAATATGCTCTACAGATCCCCACTACACGGAGTCAAATATAAACAGCACTTTCTAAAAGTTCACATGTGTTAAAGTACTATGCCATCTTCTGAGACAATGAGACCCTGGGGAAAAAAAAAAAACAACACGACAAACCCCAAATCCTTTGGTGTCAGTTCACAAGAAGTACCGATGTTTAGGGCAACAAACTTACACCTGAGACATTGCACACAACTGTCTTCTATTCACAAGTTCTCAGTCACAGCCAAGAATTCAGTTCAGGTAAAACTGACTTCACAGCAAGGTAAACATCTCCAAACCCAAGTAACAGGAAACAACAGTAAAGCATGTCATGTACGTCAAACAATTTCGTATTGCTAAAGCACCTTTCATCTATTCTTACATTATCACTAAGCAATTATATTAACCAAGGAAGCAGATGTATATTAAGAAGATAACTGTTTCTGGGCCCCAGTATATTTAATTACCTCGCTTTACAATCAAGACACAATGAATGTTTAAAGAACGAACAAGCACTGATTTAATCTTACAGGAAATTTGTAATAAGCTCCCCCCCCACATCTCCATAGATATTATATGCTAACATCGATAGTTTAAAGGGATAAAAACGATCCTAGATCTTCCTCATTTCAAGCCAAAAATGTACGTCTCTCTAAAATGAGTGAGTGACCGAGTAGATCATACAAATTCAACGCAGTACCGCTTCATCTACAAAATGTTTTTATTATCAGTGAAATACATAACACTGTCCTTCAAAGCGTCACGCTAGGATTCAAGTTGGTAATCACTTAAAACACATGGAGCAGAACACAGTTCAGAGCTGTTTTCGGGCTCCTTCCAAAGACACGAATGTGCCCATCTCTCTTATCATCATCAACAGCCTCTTTACAATCATAGCAACAAGGTATACTAAGAATAAAGAAACGTGCTCGGAAACAAATAAATCCCAAATGCCTAAGCATTAGCAAGCCTGACTGACTTCTACCGCAGCCCGCCGCAGCGGGGGCACGCCCTACTTTGCTCTGGGAACAGCGAAGCGGTGGTAACGTGCCCCGAGGAACTGCGAGAGAGAAAGGCACCGAAATAAACACAGCAGGGATTTCAGCACATCTTTCTTTCTCCCTCTCTGCCTCATTCTGCCGTTTCCACTCAGCCCCGAGGATCGCAAGGGATCTCCCCGCGGGCCAGGAGGAAGGATCGCTCCCCCCGGAAGGGCTCGGACCGGGCCCGGCTTCCTCCGGCCCGCCCGCAACAGGTCTGATCGCGGCCACACGGAAGGGGCGCACACCGCCGCCCCAAGCCATCGCTTCCCTTTCAGCTCACCGGTCTGACCAGGCAGTTCCGGCTGAGCCGCTCCTCTAAACCCGAAGAACTGGGTTCCCACACCGCTTCGCCGCTCGGGTTTCTGTGTCTGGGACACCCTTCCTGCCCCTAGCCCTCGCCCGCTCCCTGCCTGGGCCCCAGAAAGCCTTACCTGCGGGCCAGCCTGCCGCAGCACCGGGACGCCTCAGTACGGAGGGGGAATTTTTCACTCTGCCCTCCACCGCTTCCACGGGTGCGAGGGGCTCGTGGGTCCCGGAATCGGCTCAGGCTCCTTCCTTCCCTC